CATCTCGTTCTCCATTTCATCTACATTTATAATCTCAGGGAGGACATCTGCATCCTTTTCTGACATATCTAAGTGGATGTCAACCACCTCGAGGCTAAGCTTCCCTTCCCCTCAGCCAAGACCTTGCTAACCCAGTTTTTCTCAGCTGAAGGTCACACAGCCACTGCCTCCAGATGTGAAAAAACACAAAGCATCATCCAAGATGACAAGCTCTCCTTTGCAGACAAAACAACACAATTATAACAACTGCGTGGCCCTGGTGCTTCATGCTCCACAATAACATAAAGATGCATTGCATTCATTATTGCTTTGAGGTCAAGTTAATCAAGTCTGTGAAATCACCAACTTAAATTAAACTAAATGAGATCCCGTTCCAACAGCACATCCATATTTCAGACACTGCTCTGCTCTCAGTAATTGCCACTTACATGACTGTGCACTTCATTTAGGTTTGCTATGAAAAGGAAAGAGTCTCTTAAGATCCCAAATGCATTGGGACTAACTGTAAAGTCAAAGGTTAGGCTGAAAAACGCAGCTACATTTGCACAGAGGCTTCTGCTTAAACTCCCAAGTCTCCCAGTCGCCACGTTTCTCAGCTGAATAAGTGGTGAAACAAATTAAGTTGAGATCCCATTAAATCAACATGATAAATGAGAGTGAAGGTTAAACAGACAAGACATTTACAAACCCCTATAAAACAATCACAGAATCTGTCTGTCTGTTTAAAGACACATTTAGGCAGATAAAACGTATGGAGCTAATGCAGTCCAGAATCAACTTCATGCATCTTTAAAAATCAACACTGATATAGGGGAAAAAAATATAACTTCTGACTGCATTAAATTAGAACTTATTACTATACACCAGAGGTTCCTCAACTGTCTTGTCAGATGTAAAATATTTACTCCATAATTAGATTTTAAGTTAAGATTTGTATTAATTTAACATCAAATTTGCATATTCACTGTTCTCTGATGATGGTTTATGTTCATGTGACATGCAAAGCAACAAATATTTGATAATTGTAACTTTTATTCTACTCTGCAAGTTATAATACATATGTTTGTCTTAAATTTTTCTCTTTCCAACGTTCAACCACCCAACTTATAATATTTCAAGTAGTAATGTTGAAAATAGAAATGTTGAAAATGATGCAGATGTAAACAAAGTTCCCAAATGAAAGTTAAACTCCCAACACATGTAGAGACTTCATTCACTTCAAGTTTGTGAGAAGCAGCATTTACTGTTGTGGCCATTTCACATCTAATAATCATACAGTGGAGATTTAGCCAATCATGAAAAAATTAGCCAATCACCAATCATGAAAAAATTACTTTTGACCCTTTAATGTTTTCTTTGTTCCTGTCCATGTTAACATTATTGCTGTGATCAAAAAAGGACAGTTCCATCTCCTGCTGTTCCAGGTTCAACTGAAAAGCATGAAATCGGTGCTGAATGCTGTGTGCAATTTATTTCCCTACAGTTTAAAGATACAAACTGTTTAAAAATATAACACAACAAATTAAAGAGACTATCTGTCCTGCTGTGGCTAAAACAAAATATTGAGAATACATTATACCCGACGGAATAAATGTTATTTAAAGCAATTTAATTTCTGTAATTTTCCATTTTTTATAAGCATTTGAATAGTGCAATAGATCTATATATATATATATATATTCTTGTGATCTAAGGTAGTGTAACACCACACCAGCAGAGGGATCCCTCGCCTGAGTACTGACGGTGTACCGCTCCCTCTGCTTCTACGTTCATTTCCTGTTTGATCAGTATTTAGCAAGGAACTGTGTGTTTGCTCATTGCGAAGTATTGCCAGTTTACCTGCCTTACCAAGCGTTTCCATTGTTTTCTGCCTGCCTATCCTGTGTATGATTCTGCCTGATTATCTGCTCTACGTTTACTGATTTACCCCTTTGGATTTATAGCCTGATTCGGACTGATGATTGTGTTTGGACCTTTTGCCTGCTTACTCGTCTCTGCCTTTTGGATCTCCCTTGTGTATGTTGAAAGATTGGACTGCTGTTACGGTACTGACTCTCTGCCTGGCCTAACGTTTCTGTCACTCAACTCTTCTACTAACAAACGTCTGCAAATGGATTCTAATGCCGCCTCAGCCTCAATGTTACAGATTTATGGTGAGAGTAACAAAGTCAGAAAATTATACAGTCTCCCCTTTACAAGCCAGCCTGCAGATCAGTGTTGAGGCTCTGTTGGAACACGGCTTTCAGCTGCAGCAGGTCTTTTCTTCATTGAAAAGAAAGATGGAGGATTAAGGCCTTGTATTGATTATAGAGGACTTAACAATGTTACCGTGAAATTCTGCTACCCCCTTCCACTGGTTCCTTCAGCACTAGAACAGCTCCGTGAGGCTACCATTTACACCAAACTTGACCTACGGAGTGCATATAACCTGATCAGAATTAAAGAGGGCGATGAATGGAAAACTGCCTTCCTCACCACCAGGGGGCACTATGAATATCAGGTTATGCCATATGGGCTTGCCAGTGCTCCAGCCGTTTTCCAGTCGTTCATTAATGAGATTTTCCGGGACCTTCTAAACCAGTACGTAATATCCTACATTGACGACATCTTGATTTACTCAAAGTCTGAAGATGAACATATCAACCATGTCAAGACCGTCCTCTCTCGACTACTAGCAAACCAATTGTATGTCAAGGCAGAAAAATGTGAGTTCCATGTCAGACAAACGTCATTCCTGGGTTACCATATCAGTCACCAAGGAGTAAGAATGGATGAATCTAAGGTCAAAGCAGTCACAGAATGGCAACAACCATCCACCATAAAAGAGCTTCAAAGGTTCCTGGGGTTTGCCAATTTCTATAGACGCTTCATCAGAAATTACAGTATGATTGCTTCCCTCCTGAAAGGAAAGCCTTCGAAGTTGAAGTGGACTGAGGAAGCCAGCCAGGCATTCAATACATTGAAGGAAAGGTTTACAACAGCCCCCATCCTGAAACATCCTGACCCCAATCTTCCATTTGTGGTGGAGGTAGATGCTTCGAACTGCGGAATCAGAGCTGTGCTCTCCCAACGTCATGGCCAACCTGGTAATCTGTATCCATGCGCATTCTTCTCAAGAAAGTTAAATGCAACTGAAAGAAACTATGATGTTGGGAACAAAGAACTCTTATCCATGAAAGCAGCCATCGAGCAATGGAGACACTGGTTAGAAGGGGTAAATCAGTAAACGTAGAGTAGATAATCAGGCAGAATCATACACAGAATAGGCAGGCAGAAAACAATGGAAACGCTTGGTAAGGCAGGTAAACTGGCAATACTTCGCAATGAGCAAACACAGTTCCTTGCTAAATACTGATCAAACAGGAAATTAACGTAGAAGCAGAGGGAGCGGTACACAGTCAGTACTCAGGCGAGGGCTCCCTCTGCTGGTGTGGTGTTACAGGTAGTAACGGTTTAGCACAAGGCGTTGTTTGCTGCAATGCAGTAAAATTTAATCCTATCAATATTAACCCAACATATAAAAGGAACAACAGTGATGATTAAAAATGAAAATAATTTTGATGAATTAGTATTCTCCATATGTGTGATGTACTAAAACCACTTCAGATGTTTCAGTTGCCCTAAAGGGGTGCAGGTAGGTCCTGTCGTAGCACTGCTACTCCTCCACACTCATCTGTACTGCAAAGTCTCTGTTAAGATTCTTCTCACAGAGCACACGCACATCATCCAGCACAGTTTGCAGATTTAAAACTGCCTATGCAATCACTTCATAACATGCCTTTGTGGGGGGGAAAACATCCTAAAAACATTTTTATTCTGAAACGATGTACTGCATGAATCCATGAACCTTAAACTGAATTTTGCAAATGCTACTAAGATGACTGAGATCTTGTTAAATATAACAAGTGACGAGAACTTTGGGATCCTTCAGGAGGGAGAGATGATACATGCAGTTTTGCTCACATTTGATGTTAGGAATAATAGTATCTATCATACTTTCTTCTTTTCACCTCACTGAATAATACTTTTGACATACGATACCATTCAAAAGATTTTTGAATGTTTTTGAATGAAGTCTCTTATGTTCACCAGGACTGCATTTATTTGATCGCAAATACAGAACAAACAGTAATATCATTAAATATTATTACAATTTAAAATGTCTATTTTACCATATTTTAATAATGATGTAAATGTAAATTATTCCTGTGATGCAAAGTTGAATTTTCATCAGTCATTACTCTGGTTTTCATTGTCACATGATCCTTCAGAAATCATTCTAATATGCTGATTTGCTGCTGAAGAAACATTTCTTATTATCAGTGTTGAAAACAGTTGCGCTGCTTAATATTTTTTGTGGAAGTTTAGATTTTTTTCAGTCTTCTTAGATAAATAGAAAGTTTAAAAGAACATAATTTATTTAAAAGTCTGTCCCTTTCAATCGATTTAATGCATCCTTGCTGAATAAATGTATTTTTTATTTTTTTTTTATCTTTCTGACCTCAAGCTTTTGAACAGTAGTGTGTTTAAAATAAAATTATGTATAATAAATGTATTAGTAATATTACTGTTATTATTATTATATATTTCTATGTAAACAGTTCATAAAACAATTCTCACATAAATAATAACAGGTTGTGATATTGCAAACATGTTCTTTTTTAGAAGTTTTGAGTACAGTAAGTTACAATATTTTTCATAGTTCTGAATTAGTTTATATCAAAAGATCAAGGAAATTATATTTCTTATAATATCACCCTTTATTTATAAATAAAATACATAACTGCTCTTCAGACAGGAAGGGTGCAGCACTGCAGCCCCATGAAGATGACAACATTTGAGTGTATTTAAGCGAGTGCGGCAGAAAACAAGACAGAGAGTCAGAGAATGGGTGTGCCTAAGGTTCGCTTAGGACAAATGCCTCCTTCAGCTTCTATTATTAGAAGCAGCTGTTGCCCCTGACAACCGCTTAAAATCATCACTCCAGCACCTCAACTTCTTCACAGAGCACCCTGACAAGATACACACACAAACAAAAACACAGATGCAAATGCTAAAGGAAACGCACCATCACACACATGTACACACAATGGAGGCCATACTTACTGTAACACAGCCCTATCTGACAGTGCGGTCTAAAATGAACTAATTTCACTGTGCCCATCACACTGAAGACATCAGAGGAACAGAAGAATAGAGGCTGAGAGAGATACTCACTTGAAAGGAACACAACAGGATTAAAAGTAGCGAATAAAAGAACAAAACTATGAGACTGAGGACAAGGACAGCTGGAAAGGAAATCGCTGCAAAACAATCAGCTTTGGTTTGGTGCAGGTTGCTGCAGAATTAAAGTAAATGTGAATTCAGACTTTGTTTATTTAGGCAACTGCTTTTTATTAATTGAACAGCATGCTAAAGAAAAAAACATTTCACTCAGAAATTGCTGGTAAATTGAATAAATAACGACAAAGTAATGGCAAATAGCACAATTAATTAAACATGAAAGTTTTAAGCAGAGATTAAGACTTAAATAGTGTTTTATTGTAAAATATACTCCAATAATCTTTTTATTTACTTTGAAAAGCCTTTTTTACAGTGTAGGAATTGATATGAATCAATTCAAAAACTTGAATGTAAATGCAATATGGTGAGAAAAAGAAATGCATATTGATATATGATTGCATAGACACACACAGCCCTAACTAGAATGAAGCTTGACCAAATGCAAGTAAATCAATTATCAGGTCATTTGGTTATTGGATATGGCTTAAGTGATTTGGATATTGGTTAACAGTATTCACCCAGCTAACAAAGAATGTTCTTAGACCATTGGCTAATGTACTGGCAAGGGTCTCAGATGTTCTTCCACTAATGTTGATGGAAAGTTTGTTCAAATTTATCTGGTCTTTAAAGGAACACTCCACTATTTTTGAAAATAAGCTCATTTTCCAACTCCCCTAGAGTTAAACAGTTGAGTTTTACCGTTTTCTAATCCATTCAGCCGATCTCTGGGTCTGGCGGTAGCACATTTAGCTTAGCTTAGCATAGATCATTGAATCTGATTAGACCGTTAGCATCTCACTCAAAAACGACCAAAGAGTAACTACAGAAGAGTCAATTTTAAATAGGAAAAATATAGAAACTCGTTGGTCATTTTTGTGGGGGTGAGTAAATTATCAGAAATATTTTATTCTGGAAGAGAACTAATCCTGATGTTTTCTCTAACATTCAGGTAACCAAGAAAAAAAAAACACTTTTAAAACATTCAGAAATAACATTTTCATCACTTAATGGGAATGTTAGCTAAATTAACATATTTTTGTTAACTGAGCATTAGCTTGCATCGTCTAAGTGACGTCAGAAAAGGAAAGATTAAATTATTTTATTTGTTGTTATAAATACTCATTTTTTATTGAGAATATAATGCACTGATTAATAAATTACAATAAGTCCTAGAATGTGATCAGACTGCAGCCAAGAGTCCACTTCTCACATCGAGCATCTTTTACTGCAAACTTAACATGTATCCTCACACTGCAGTCACGATGTGGTGAGCATGGGCAACTGCGGTAACCAGCAGTGTACATTAACAATCAATGCAGGAGCGTACAAGAGCTGGCTATGAAGCTTTGACAGCACTGAGAACAGCTGACCTTCTGCAATATTCTTATGGGAGCTGCAGTAGATTATCTTTTAGTTTAATGCAGTTTCCAAATTGGCTATTTAAATTCAGCTTTTTCTCACTTCTCCGCTAAATCACCTTTCTGTTCTTGTGCTAAGGATTGCAGTGCTCTCTTAACCTGTGATTTTCTGTTCTATAAAAAGCAAAGAAAAAGAAAACACATCTGTCGATATCTGACGCTTCAATCATGAAGTGTTTTGAAAATCATGGCGAAGTGTATGTGTGTCTTCATTTCAAGCAAACAAACAGGAGAAAATGGGATGAGAGAGTTTGCAGCGAGGCAAATAGTGTTCAATATCTGATTTTCTAAAGGGATGTACTGATATTAAAATTCTGGCCGATAGCAATGAGCTGATAATTATTTTCATTTAATGGATGCTAACCAATACATCACTGTTATTACATTTCTATGCTTATTCGCTTACAATTAAAAACAAATAAGAGTTTTAAATGGTACGTGAATTCAGGCATCAAATTATAATATTTAGAAAAAAATAGTATTACTGAACTATTAGAGTTTCTACAGTTTAAAGGGATAGTTCATCCAAAAATGAAAACTTGATGTTTATCTGCTTACCCCCAGGGCATCCAAGATGTAGGTGACTTTGTTTCTTCAGTAGAACACATATGATGATTTTTAACTTTAACCGTTGCAGTCTATCAGTTGTATAATGCATGGCAATGGTAACAAAATCTATGAGAGTAAAAAACATATGCACAGACAAATCCAAATTAAACCCTGCGGCTCGTGACGACACACTGATGTCCTAAGACACAAAACGATCGGTTTGTGCAAGAAACCGAACAGTATTTATATCATTTTTTACCTCTAATACGCCCCTATGTCCTACTGTCTTTGGGCACGCGCACGGCATCCGGTGCGTGAGGTGTGTACGCGCTCTGGCGTCGTTTACGTTAATGGGTGTGTTGATATCCAGCCGAAGAGCAATCAACCATAACTTCAGGCGAGCAGGCTCAGAAGTTGGGAATACGTGGAAAGTCACCACTCCCGAATGAGTTTGCGCGAGAGAACGTAATCTTTAAGTTTTAAGTCAGTTTTTCAACAATCCGGATAAGTGCAATTAAGTACCATATTGATTAGCCGTCGTACCTACAAAGAGTGTCGTATACGCGTGAGAGATCACTTCCGGCGCTTGCGTAAACTACGCCAGAGCGCATACACACCTCACGCACCGGATGCCTGAGCGTGCTCAAAGACAGTTGGACATAGTGGTGTATTAGAGGTAAAAAATGATATAAATACTGTTCGGTTTCTTGCACAAACCGATCGTTTTGTGTCTTAGGACATCAGTGTGTCGTCACGAGCCGCAGGGTTTAATTTGGATTTGTCTGTGCATGTTTTTTTTACTCATAGATATTGTTACCATTGCCATGCATTATATGACTGATAGACTGCAACGGTTAAAGTTAAAAATCATCATATGTGTTCTACTGAAGAAACAAAGTCACCTACATCTTGGATGCCCTGGGGGTAAGCAGATAAACATCAAGTTTTCATTTTTGGGTGAACTATCCCTTTAAGTGAGCATAACATGAAAGGTAATCTAGATATTAAAATTAGGTAGGCCTAATTAATTATTCAATATCTGCAAATATATGTAATTCCAACCAATAATCAGTAAGAGACATGGTAAATGAAAAAATTATATGGTACACTTGAAAAGTGTTAACCTGAAATTTCTGTTTCTACCTGACTGAACCTTTAAATTTGTTTTGTAGGTGTATTTATGTTGATCCAGCTATTTTAAATAATATAACCATTAAGATGCTGAATCTTATTTTGAATCACATTTTTTTTTCAGCCTACCTCTCTAAAATCACAACAAATTGTTGAAAACTACACCTTTTTAATGCTAGTCTCTGCAGATACTCCACAAAAATTACAGCAACTACCTCACCAAACTTGACTTTTGCTCACATCACATTCAAACACATCTAAATTAATTCTTGTGAAATTCACCACTGACCGGCATAAAAAGCAATCATAAAAAACTGATGAGATAAAGAACTTCAAAACAGTGCATAAGAACACTTTAATATACACAAGTTCTTTGATTCCTTCTGCCCTTTCAACAGTGAATATAATCAACTCTACATTATAACTCCACAATAACGTTTGGGACGGTTTCTTGTACGCTGACTTTGCCACAAATGACATAAACAGCTCCAGGTGGTATTCATATATACTGTACATTTATTCTGACCATTTTAGATTTTATTTAAATATTATATAAATGTATATTTCAAGAGAAACAGAATTTCTACACATAGTGAGTCCTGAAGCAGCTGCTGCAAACGCTAAGTATCTCTCTGCTGCGCCTCACTAACTCCCACCATCATGTGTCCTCCCAGAAAATAATTAATGTATGACAAACCACCACAGAAATGGCTTTTGTTCAGGCCCACTATCCATAATTCACAAAAAAAGCTTTTTCCAGTGTGGCCAAAGTGACACATTGTCATAACAAAAGTGACAACCTCAACCTTAGACCTGAAGTATCCAAGAAAATGCCCAGAATGCATCAGCCTTCAGAGTGGCTACACCTGAAGATTATTTCAGAACACATTTTACTGTTATTCTGCTACTCTCTTATCATTTTGAAAAGAAAATGATCTGCATTAATCTCCAGTTCAGGACGATTGTCTGGGAGATAAAAGAGAGCTCACATGTCCTCTGTAGCAGTTGTTCTCAAACAGGGGACTGGGGCCCGCTGGGGGCCTTCAGAACTCCCAAAGTGGTCACAGGATTAATTAATCACATTATATAAAAAAATTAATTCACAAAGAAATTAATACGTAGATTGAAAAACTATTTATTTTTTCCCTCAATATTTTTTTTAATTGAAGAGCATACCGAAGTAGAATATTTGCTCTTATGGAGTCTTATGAAAAATTGATTGTGGTTAATTATTTTTATCAACTTTCCTAGGGCCAGAGTTACTAACAGATTGTGCCAGCGCAAACCCTCTTTTGCTGTTAAAAACTAAAGACATGCAATGAAACTTTAGCAATGAAAAGGCTAAACTTACTGCATATGCATTTGTACAAGTTTCTCTTTCAGATACAAAATTTATGGGAGGAGAGTATTTAAATGAATCCCGCAAGGTTAAATGAATGCCGCAAGATTTGTAGTAGTCAGTTTACTCGTATTTGCACAATTATTTAACACCCCTAAAAAATGTCTTAACCCATTTTGCGCCTGTGTTGATAGTAGATTACCCACACTTGATTTTCATCGGCTCTGCTTGTTTGTGATCCTACAATAATTTGTTTTGCTCTTGGAAGATTCTTTGAATATTGTGTCCTTTGAATATTGAGCAAAGAAGTCAAAGAGTTGAGAAATGCATATACAGCATACTCATTGGACATGGGCCAATAAATTTAAGCTAATTACACATCCTACGAACCATTGACCATCATGACCATCTTCATTAAAATCATATTTACTTCTATTTCAGAGTGGCATTAAAATCACTGTTGTGTTTTAGCATCAACCTACTCCAACCTGTGGGTGTGCATATATGGGGTCTTGTGTGCATGTTCCTCACAAAATTGCTAATTTTGTCCTTCTATGCTGAGTCAGAGTAAAGGCTTATGTCAGTTCAGTTCCAATGCCAAAACAATCATAATACAAAATGAACACAATGTCTCTCTAATCTCACAGTCAGCTGTGCTTGTGTATATGTGAGCAGAAGAGAAAACAGTAGCCTGTAGCTCTTTCCTGAGTGGACTACAACAGCAGACTCTAGTCTATTCTCCCACTTTATTCATCACTGCAGCCTTAATAGGTAGTGTTGACAGAGATGTCCCCTTCCTTAATAGCCCACCATCTATTAAACAATCAGAGTAGCCTGTAGACTCACCATGTTCACTTCCGACACCATGTCGATACTGGCGATGTCAATACTCATATTGACATCAACCGGAGGACCTGCAAAGCAAACAGACACCACAATCTCTCCAACATGGCCTGATGACAGTCAATGATCCATCAAAATGGTCACATCCATCAGTGAGAATGAAAAAGTGTTTTAAATCAATATAAAGCCTTTACCTCCGAAGTCAGGCCTGAGACGGATGTCGTAGCCTTTGAGTAGTTTATCCACAGTGACTTTGACATATGACATGTTGCTTGGTTCGTTTACACTGTGGAAGAGTAGTGTGATATTTGAGAAACTGTGACTCAAAGAAACCATGACTTCAACAATAGTCAGTGCAGTAATGGTTTAAAATGGTTTAAACCAAGCTGGTCTACCAGCCTGGCTAAGCTGGTCTAGCTAGTTCCTCAGCCTAGCCAAGCTCATGCACATCTGGTTTTCAGCCTGACCGTCTGAAAAGTGCCCAAACCTCTCTGAAACCAGCCAATAGGCTGGGAGACCAGCTAAGCCCAGCAAACCATCTTAGGATGGTTTAACATGGAAACGCAGAGAATGCAGGCAGAATGTGATAACACACAAGCACGTTATGTCTTACCTGTGCGCTGGCGGACTACGACCCACCGTCAAAGCCACGAGCACAAAGAGACACAAGATCCCCGCGCGCCAGTGATCCCGAGCGACCAGCATCCCTCTCATCATCGACCGAGAAGCAGCAGCCCAAACTTAGTCTGAAGAAGCGCTCCAGAAAATTCAACTACACAGCAACGCATGCGCGACGACGAGACCAACATCAAAATACTACAAACGCAAAAAAATAAAAGAGCAACTCTAACAAAAACCAAAGTGGCGCGCGAGGCGTTCTTGCGTCTGTCGCGCTCTCCGGTGCTGACGACGCTGCTGGCGGAGCGGATCAGTATGCCGGTCAGATCCCATCGCCAGCGGGTCACTGGACACGACAGCTCATGGATGCTGGGTCCTTCGCGTGTCTTCCTTGTTAATACCGAGGAGCTGAACGTGCTGTCGCGTTGAGATTATGCGCCTATCCCTTCCGTACGCCTAAACGATTCAGTCTGAGGCAGACAGAGAGTGCGTAGTTTTTGCTGGAGGAGGTGTGTGCACCTGACTCGAGAAACTCTTTCGCGCCTTCTTTCAATTTGCGGTGCATCACGCGCCCGAGACAGTGAATTATTTGTTTGAAACTCGGAAAACGCATTAAAACAGCGGGCACCGCGAAAAAAACGCATTAATATCTGGAGACCGTGGGAATAATTAATGTGCAGCGACGGACAGGGCGCGTGACTGCTGATGTGAGGAAAGAACAGTCAAATGTGCGTTTGAAGTATAGCTGCTATAGCGATATTCTGTTCAAACTGCAGCCAAAATAACGAATTATTAGAGAGTATTTTCATCCGTTATCTATTATAACCTGAGACCAAAAGTCCATTTAGACACAAACTTGTTTTCTCTAGTAGCCTAATAATGCTGGTTTCAAACAGCTTCTTTGAAATAGAATGTGAAATGGTGTACTGTTTTACAGTACGGATTGCGGATTTCACTTGAAGTAGCCTATTTAATGCAGTGTAACAATGTGGCAAATTACTCAAGTTTTAGTCTCACATTAAGCTTCTGTCGTTTTAATTCACATCTTTGAACAAAACAACAAGAACAAAGTATCAGTCAATTGTAGGCGAATTCGTAACAATTGACAAAAACGCATGGGGGGAAAAGCATGAAGGTCTAACCCTCAATGGGATGAAAGCAGATCATATGAAAACATATAAACGAGATCATACAAACTTTGTATCTGCTTGCATCCCTCTGAGGGTAAGTTTCCATCCTTCATCCTTCTTTCCCCTAAAAATCATCATTTAAATCGCTAGCTTCTAAAATAGTCACCTTTTCTGAGATCGGGTTGAAATATGAAACAACAGGGAGAGATTCTCTGTAGCAGATAAACTTGCAGTCAAAAGTGTCTGCTAAATTACAATATAAATAACTACACTGCTGTCAAATCGTCTCCTTTGCCTGACAGGAACTAAACTGCGTGTCTGGGCCTTTGGGAAGAAGATTTATTGTTTAATGGAGCAAAGAGTTTGAGACACCATGGCAGGTTGCTGTATTTTCATCCCCTCTGGACATTAAGCAGTATGCCTGGATGCTCAGCCATGGTGTAAACGAGTGAATAGGCTTTGTAAAGTGCCTTCAGAAAAGACCGTTTTGAGCTGAGCTGAGATACCACGAGGAAGAGAATAGGTAGGCCTATAGGAAAGTAGGTTTTTGGGATCTTTAAATCCTCAAGAGCATAAAGTTCAGGCCGGATGGGAATTAGGTCTTGGAACATTAGAAGGATCTGTGTAAGAGGTCACTGAAGTGAACAGTGCAGAACAGGAGCTCAGTTTGATCAAGCTGCAACAAAATATTCAGAAATGCCCAAGATTTCAAAGCTATACAGATTTAAAATTAGAGGGACACAGAATGATTCAGAGAAATGCTGACAAGATGTGAGACCAGAATTCATTGTGGCTTTAAAGCTTTATTACTAGTTTCCATTGAGTCATGTTATAATTTTGTATTTACAATTCATTATACTTTTGTTCAATACGATTTTTGGTGTTTTGTAGGCTCGTCACTTAAATGTAAATCTTGGTCTTGAAGCTAATCTGGTTGAGAACCACTGCCATAGAGAAACCTGAGTGGCACAAAATAGAAATTCACCCTATTTGTTTTCTAAATGCATCTTATTGTGGAGATTATCGTGGACTTCAGGAGAAAACCCCCTGCACTCCCCCCACTCACCATCATGGACAGCACTGTGGCTGCAGTGGAGTCATTCAGGTTCCTGGGCACCACTATCTCTCAGGACCTGAAGTGGGACACTCACATTGACTCCATTGCAAAAAAGGCTCAGCAGAGGTTGCACTTCCTTCGCCAGCTGAGGAAATTCAACATGCCACAGGAGCTGCTGAAACAGTTCTACTCTGCTATCATTGAGTCTGTCCTGTGTTCATCCATAACTGTCTGGTTTGGTTCAGCTACCAAATCAGACATCAAGAGACTACAACGGACAGTCAGGACTGCTGAGAGGATTATTGGTGCCCCTCTGCCCAGCCTCCAAGATCTTTACATCTCCAGAGTGAGAAAAAGGGCAAAAAAAAATCACCTTGGACCCCTCACACCCAGCCCACTCTCTCTTCAAACTGTTGCCTTCTGGTCGGCGCTACAGAGCACTGACCACCAGAACAGCAAGGCACAAGAACAGTTTTTTTCCCACAGGCTATATTCAGCCTGAACAATTAATGTTTCATAATTACATCGTCCATTTATATTAAACTGCACACTTTGTAAATAACATATCTGCACACTAATAAACATATCTGTACATTTATCTAAACAATTCATTTTCTGTATATAGTACATTATTACATTTTTCTAATTTTTCTTTTTTTATTATATTAGTGTTATATTACATCCCTACTGTGTTATTCCTATGTATGTCTGCACTATGTTTGTACTTTCTTCAACACTGGAAGCTCCTGTCGTCAAGTCAAATTCCTTGTGTGTGTAAACATACTTGGTAATAAAGCTCTTCTGATTCTGATTCTGATTATTGATTTTGAACAGTTCATCCATGCATGTTACATTTGTAATTTTTTTGAATCTCATGAATTTTAATCATAACTTCCTCTTCTGTTAAAATGGCCTTATTTCTAGTGAAGTATGCAAGACTTCTCTAATAATTTAGACTGCTTAAACTCGGCCCATTTCTTACAATCAGCCAAAGTTCACATTGAGATCTGCTTCCATCCAATCAACAACTGATGGACCACCACCACTTTTTTTTCCTTTTCTATAATATGAACTGCGTAAATGCCTATTCACACCAAGGATTGTAAATATAAAATTTATTTCTAAAGATTATTTTAAATGTAAAAGAATAGCCGAGTTAACACCACAACTATAACGGTAATGACACAGAGGAATGACATTGTTGGATGTGCATTCAGAACAATTTTTTCCAGCTGATGAACGATAAAACCATTGACAGTCAATCAGAATGCATTCTGTTTTAAAGTACTTGAGCATTTAAAGCGGCAGAGGACAAAACTGCAGCATGCTTATAATCAGAATATTACCGTACATATACAAGTTATTGTTATAGTTATTGCTCTTGGTGTTCAACAGGGCTCAACTCTTCAATTAATAATTTCAGCAATATTTAGATTTAGCCAAACCAGAAAGGTCGCCATCTATAGCTTTTTGTACTGCTAGCACTCATTGTGCTGGACAATCCAATACATCTGATACCTCACAAAAAGCTAGTAATTAGAGCAAAAGATATAGTCAGTATGTGTGATGTGTGAAAAGAGTGACTCTAATTCAATTTAAATTAGTTGTGGTGTACTTAGTCACACCAAAAAAAAAAGATGAATGAGCAGCCACACCAACTGAATGCACACACACACACACACACACACACACACACACAAGAGCAAAGAATCAATACTGAGTCACATTCACCTCCTACTCCTCACAGCATGCGTCCATCATGCCTTACTGAGAAGTGGCTCTCATACTGTGAAAACCACAGACCGCAAATATAACGGCACCCTGTGAGTGAGTGAAGAATGCCATCCTCATCATTTACCTGCTGCTTCTCCTCATTGGCTTTCGGTAGGCTGTTGTGTTGCAGAGTCAGGGTCACCAGTCCAGTGATCACTGGAGGATTCACACTATAACAAAGCTAAAGGTTCACAGCAAGGTCAGTGTCAGTTTTCATCAGTTTTCATGGCACTTTCATTGGCAGGTTTTTAATCAAAAATTCACTGCCTGTTGATAAAACAGGATGATAAACCTAGCAGGTCTGGCAATTTGTGCATATAACAAATCATGTAATCTAATTACCTGAAAATTTGTTTTTATATGCATTATACAATCAATAAAAAAAGGAGAGAGACAAGTATTTTGCAGGAGCAAAGTACTTCCGATATGATCCTGATGATGGCGGTAATGCTGAAGGCTTGAGCCCTAGGAGACCCAGCTTGCATTACTGTAATGAGCAATGGTTGCGCTAGGGAGCGCTACTAACTAGATAATGACTTGGAAACTGTTGCACAATTTAAAACGCACACACACAAAAAAATATTCAGACTGATGCGAAGACTACAGTCATGTCCAAAAGTTTTTGCAGTGATATAAATGTTGTGTTTTGCAAAGTTTGCTGCTTCAGTATTTGTAGGTTATTTTTCCACATGTTTCTATGGTATACTGAAAAACAATGATAAGCATATCATAAGTTTTAAAGGCTTTTATTGGCAAAAAAACCCCATAATGAGTCAATATTTACAGTGTCGACCCATGTTTTTCATAACCTCTGCAATTCGCTCTGGCATGCTGGATATTAGCTTCTGGGCCAAATCTGGTTGATGGTAATCTATTCTTGCCTTATTAATTCTCAGAGTTGATCACAATTTGTGGGCTTCTGCTTGTCCACTCACCTTTTGAGGACTGAGCACAGGTTCTCTATGGGATTGAGATCCAGGGAGTTGACTGGCCACAGATCCAAAATTTCAATGTAATGATCTTCAAGCCACTTCTTTATCACTCTTGCTTTGTGACATGAGCTTTACTGTTGGCACAACACAGGATTCATGGTAGCGTTCACCTTTTCTTCTCCGAACAATCGATTTTCCAGAAATTACCCAAACAGTCGGAAGGGAGCTTCATCAGAGAAAATAACTTTGCACCAGTCTTCTGCTGTCCAATCCTTGTACTTCCTGCAGAATTTCAGTTTGTCCTTGACGTTGTTCTTGGAGAGAAGTGGCTTCTTTGCTGCCCTTCTTGACACCAGGCCGTTGTCCAAAAGTCTTGGCCTCACTGTGCGTGCAGATGCTCTCACACCAACCTGCTGCCATTCCTGAGCAAGCTCTGCACTGCTGGTGACACGATTCCAGAGCTGACTCCTCAGGAGAAGATGGTCTTGGCGCTTGCTGGACAATCTAGGACGTCCTGAAGACTTCTTCAATGCAGTCGAACCTCTGTCCTTGAAGTTCTTGATGATCCGGTAAATGGTTCTTTCAGG